TTGAATTAGACTCCTAATTTACTATTCTAAATTGATATCAAATCACTCATTATTACCAAGTTCAATAGTGTTATAAAACAATTAGAGAACAACTTTCACCTTATAAATCTCACATCTCTTAAGAGACAAGACAATTAAAAAAATATATAAATAGAAGACAACCGTCATCTTACAAATCTTATATTGACTAGAGATAAAAAAAATATATATAAGTTATGAATTTAGAAAAAAAAATTATAGGAATAAATTATTTAAAGTTTTACTAGCAAAAGATAAAAGTCACTAAATGGATAGAAATGAGACAATTAAAAAAAATAACTTTTAATAGCCTTTAAAATGGTTGCTAGTCTTTACCAGCATTTTATATAAATGTTGGTAATAGTATTAACGACCCTAGATACACCAATCATTATTTAAATGCTGGTAAAAAAATAATGATCATTTATATGGCCATTAAAGAATAAATTAATTGCCACAAAAAATTAATTTTGGTGTAGTGATAGAAGTGTTAATAGATATTTTAATAGTTTTTTAATGTGTGTCCTAAGATACACTTTAACAATTATTAAAATTCACTATCCAATATATCTTTTTAGTATATTTATGTAAAAGAGTAAACAATAATAAATAGTATATATTAACTCTGATTTTAAAATTAATTTGATGTCATTTTTAACTCTGACTTTCCATTTAATTTTTTCACTCTCAATCAAAACAATAATAAAACATATTTTAACAATATTATACTTAAAGTAATAGGCATTGTTTTATATTTTTTTAAACTCTATTATATTTTTGTTGTTGTTTGGTTTTTTCTATTACTGTCATTTATATGTTTCAAATTATACTCTTATATTCAAATTTTAATTTTATTAAAAATTTTAATTCTTATATTTAAATTTTAATTTTATTAAAAAATTATTAATTATTATCATATAATATTTTATTTATTAATATAAAATATTATTAAACCAGTAACAACAAAAATATAACATTGTTAAAAAATATATAATAATGTCTAATATTTTAAGTGAAATATTGTTAAAATCTATTGCATTATTGTTTTGATCGGGAGTGAAAAAAGCAAATAGAAAAACATGATTAAAAATAACATCAAATTAGTTTTAAAATCAGAGTTAATATTATTTATTATTATTTACTTTCTCACATAATAAATATATTAAAAAGAGACATTAAATAATAAATTTTAATAATTATTAAAGTGTACCCTATGACACGCATTAGAGAAACCGATATTTTAAAAACATGGTATGCATTTCAAATATCAACGGAAATGTATTAATTAGAATCTTAAAGAGTTCATTCAAATAATGGTTATATAATATAGTGTTGTTCATTTATTACAAGAATATAGTGTTATTTTCATAACTGTTTAATTTGGTTATATTTATTACTAATATTTTAATATTCTATGCGGTACAAACTAAATATTTATTAAATGTAATTATAAAATTTAGGATAAATTATATATATATATATATATATATTATGTTTGAATATATAAATTATATTTAAATTATGTATATATACTACCTTGTTTTCACTATGAAATTTGTAGAAGAACATATGCACAAAGTTTTGATAATGTCAAAACATTGTTGAAAATAAAAGGTCAAGTTAAAGTAAGTTGATCAAGAAACAAGATACCAAGAATTAACTAGATAAGTCTTATTAACTTAGTTAAATATGTAAAAGGAACTTTTAAAAATTGCAAATTTTATTTGACCATTAAAACTATAATTTCAAGAAAACCTCAAATAATCTTTTTGAATATAAGAGTAAGTTTTTTTTTATATATCTTTTTGAAAAGAAAGTGAAAAGAGTGTTCAAAAAGATTTTACAAAAATATTTTTTTACTGATAATTAGAAAAGTTTCTTATATCAAAAGTTTGTACAGCAAATGTTTTAATATGTGTCTGGTAATCGATTACCAGTTTAAGTAATCGATTACTAGAGTAAGGAAACTTCAAAGTTCGAATTTCAAATACAAAAATAAGTTACGGTAATCGATTACCATCCTTTGTAATCGATTACCAGACGAGGGAACTTCAAAAATTTGAATTTAAAGATACAACGTTTCAAATTATTTTTTAATTTAAAATCGTTGTGTATATTTTCTGAAAATTATAAAGGGTTACAACTTTTCATGAGAAGACTCAACCATAGGAATACTTGTCTATAAATACCTATAATTCTTTTAGAAAAGGTTATGAACTCTATTGTGAAAAAAAAATATTTACAAAACTTTTTGGTTAAAGTCATTTGCATTATTCTCCAAAGAGTTCAATAAGATCTTAAAAGTGTAATATCTACTCTTCAAATAGAGTTACTTTGTTATACCCACTTGATCATTTGATCTGTAAAGGAGAAATAGTTGTTCTCCTTAGTTTGTTGGTTTTTGAATCTCAACACAAGGAAAGAGAATTCCAACGTATTGGAGGATTCAAGTATTGTAAGTATTACAATAATAGTAAAAATCTCAAGTAGGAGAGTTGAAGACTAGACGTAGGCAAGATTGGCCGAACCAGTATAAAACAAGTTTGCAATTCTTCTTTCCCTATACTTTTAATTACTTGTTATTTAATTGTGTTTGAGTAATTTTGCATTAATAAACTTTATATATAATTTGTCTAAGAAATTAAATTTATAAGAAAATATTTCTAAAAACTCATAAAAAAGAAAAATTGGATAACTTAATTCACCCCTCTTAACTTATACAAAGGCTACTTGACTAACAAAAATTTATCATTCACAGATAAATTCACACACATAGAAGTTAATGGCATCCTCTTCCTACTAATTCTTTGGTAGACATCTAGGATTGGGAACCTAAAATCCCATGAGAATATAGTATATATAACCACTATCTTGAAGAGGGTGTGGACAATTGAAAATTTTAAAAATTTGAAGCTCCTACCACTCGTTTCACCCATTAAAAATAGAATTGTTATTAGATATTTTAAAAACATGGTTTGCATTTCAAATATCAACGGGGAATGTATTAATTAGAATCTTAAAGAGTTCACTCAAATAATGGTTATATAATTTAGTGTTATTTATTTATTTATTACAAGAATATAGTGTTATTTCCATAACTTTTTAATTTGGTCATATTTATTACTAATATTTTAATTTGTATAATATAAAGACTAAATATTTATTAAATGTAACTAAAATTTATGGTAAATTATATATTTAAATAAGTATTATATTTGAATATATAAATCATATTTAAAATTTGTATATATAGATATTTTTAAACATATAAATTATATTTTAAATTTAGATAAGTAATTTATATTGTTGGGCAATATTACTTTTATTTATTAAAAATTTATTTTGAAAATATTAAAATTTAGGTAATAAATAAAAAAATGAATTAGAGAAAAAATTTTAAAAAATTTCTAAAAACCCTCTCATCGAATAAATGTCTCTAAAAACATTCTTACGATAGAAGTTTGTGTTTAATATATAGGAAAATTCATTTATTGATTTTAAATGAATTGATTTATTTGCATTTTGAAAAAACTAATTGTAACTTTGTAAAAAAAATAGTTATAACAAAGACTAATTGAATAAATAAAATTTATTCTGTGGAAAAAATTTCACCCACACAATATATAATTTATATGTGAATAAAAAATTGATTAAATAAAAAATGAATTAGATAAAAAGTTTAAAAAAAATTAAAAACTCTTTCATAAAAAAAGTCTATAAAAATGTTATTGCAATAAAAGTTTGTGTTTAACATATAGGAAAATTGGTTTATTAATTTTAAACAAATTGATTTATTTGCATTTTGAAAAATTGTAAAAAGAATAGTTATAACAAAAACTAAGTGACTAAATAAAATTTATTCTATGCAAAAAATTTCACCCACACAATATATCAGATGCGTTAAAATTTAAGAATCTAGAAAAAAAAATATTTTGTGAAATATATAGTAAAAAAATAAAGAAATTAGTATATTCATAAGTATCAATATAATAATAGAGTAGTTTTTTTAAAATATTAATTATTCCTAGAAAACAAAATTTCAAGTTTCAACATATCATAATTATCATAATATGCATACTTGTTCAGCACACTGTCATGATTTAACTACGTACGTATGTAGCCTTCGGATATTAGTTTAAATTTAGTTATAAGCACATTATTCATCTGTATGAATATCTATTTCATATTCATCGGTTAACAGTCCAATAGATATATACCAATATACCATAAAAAACAAACATATATATATTGAAATAGAAGCTACCAAATCTCACTTCAATGTCGTCATTTGGTATATTTTGAAATCTTAGATTTTGAAGATATCATTACCACCAAAGAAAAAACTCGTTTCCATTAAAATCTTTCATTCATTTAAATGTATTTAAGATAAGCAAAGCAATATTAAAGTTTTTAATTAGTAATTTTTACTTAACTCCTAGCTAGATAGTTAATGATTATATATCCCTAAATATCTGCAATGTCTTCAATAGTCTTTCGAGATCTCTTTCTATTTTTCTTCTTGTTAATCCTCTTAGTTTTGCTGATATTACCACCATAAAGTTGGCCACATACACTACTTTGACTTCCTTCTTCACACGAATTCTCTCCACTTTTGTATCCTGTCACAATCTTTTGCAGTTCAGTTTCCAACCAGGGGCAATTTTTCTTAAGATACTCAAAACCTTCTGATTGCACCACAGCTACCAGAGACAAAATAATGAAAGAAGTTATTTAAGAATCAACTATTATACATTTTAGGTCGGCTTCACAGTTTCATTGAAAGGTAGGAAAGGAAAGAAATGAGTACAGATGGTAGAAACTAAATATTGGTGCCTCTACAATCTATGCTCACAACCAAACAGGTTTAAAAAATGTTAAAAAAATATGGAAGTAAATATAATACAAACACTTAAATGTAAGAATTCAATACTCCAGAAAAGGGTACTTCCAATTAGGCCATAAAGAACATAAAATGTGGGATAATGCATACACCAAAATAACCATGAGAATATTTACAAGCCAAAATGTAGGTGACTATATGAATTCAAATATGTAGACTTGGGTGGGAGGGTTAAGACTCACCAACAACGTTATTAGTAGAAAATTTTAGACACAGGGACTTCAATTCTTCAGCTTGATTACGATCAGCAAAATCCATAATATAACCAACAGAATCTATAGATATTTCTTTGGCAATTGCAGATTGGCACATCAACTCAAGTCTTGGAAAACCATACTTTTGTGCAGCAACTAGCAACTTCCCAGGAAATGATTCAGATAACGAAGGTAAAAATTCTGAGCATGACATTAAGAGCTCTTCATCTTCTTCAAGAGTGTCTGTATAAATAAAATGAATCAAAGCCTGCTCAACAATAGAAATCATTATTAGATCACCAAGCAAACGAAATGATATGCCAATTGCATGAAAAAGAAAAACAAAAAAAGAAAAAGGCATTTGTGAGGAGTATGCTACCTTGAAAACCTTAGGTTCCATGCCATCAACTACAATGCATTTGTCACTATTAGGACCCTCCTCCTGCTTTCCAGTGAGAAACATAGTCTTGAATGCCGTTGACCTAGTAGTCAAAACAAGCTTATGAGCACGAAACCTTTCTCCACCAACCAAGAAAGTAACATCTGATCCCTTCTCATTCTCTAACAGCTTCCCAAAATATGATCCAATATCAGACTTAGGAATATTCACCAGGGGCTTGGGAACTTCTACGCTCGTTACCGGAACCCCAACAACGCAGTTTATCTTCAAGCAGTCATCCTTGAGGAATGTCGACTTCTCCAGTTTATCCTTTGCGATAAAATGCCTGATCCCCCTATGACACAAACCATTGATTCATCATTCATCACACCAAAAAAGATAATACTATATATATAATTTAAAAATCTATAAAAAAATTAACCAAATAGAGAAAAAATCGAGTCATTGGTATGATTAATGAAATTGATATAGATTTTCTTAAATAAGGTTTCAAATATCCATATGAGAATGAGCTTCCTTAAATAACATCTTTGATAATGTGTTTTTATATAAAATTTAAAACCATAATAGACATTAATCAAATAGAGAGATAAGTCATAAATTTCTTGGTCCGAGTAAAATTAGACTGATTAATCTTATATTTAATTCTTATAGATAAAAAAAAATATAATTAAAAGAGAAATTTCATTAAAAATTATCATCAAGACTTTCTAAAAAAGATTAATTACTGATAAAATATACAGATACATTACATTAATAATAAAGTTAAAATAAATGGAAGAGAAAGAAATAACCAAGACTTCTATTTTCAACCAGCCACAAGTAGAAAAAGACAGTTGAAAGAAGAGAAAATGTTGAAGTTGGTGCACATTTGGCATTGACAAGATATTTAAAAAGAAAAGCATGAAAGAGAGAAGACGAACCAGAAGGAGCCAAAGTGGAAAATTTGGGGTCCATCGATGAGGTTGGTGGTGAAGTAGTCATTGACCATGTGCTCCCCTTTGTCGCTCTGGTCGAGCAAGGTGAATTCAAAGATGGCACGAACATTGGTGGCTAAGGAAACGAGTGCAAGGTAAACAGAAATGAAAACGGTGTTATCTTCGGGGTACTTGCCATCAGGGTACAAGTATATGATCCACCTGTGTCCTCCCGCGTCAAACTTCTCACTCTTGACGTGTTTTCCAACGCCGATTCCCTTCAACAGAGTGTAACCTTCGACCACGAACAGGTGAGAACCGTTCAGGGTTTTCGTCACTGACCACGACTCACTCTCCATGTCTCTAAAAATGGATCTTCTGGATCGCATACAATGAGAATGAATGGATGAATATGAATTCACTTTGCGTTTCTTTAATCTTTCTTTGCCTGAAATAAATGCCGAGGGAAATATTTAAAGCCTTTAAAATGTTAAATATTTATTTAATGCTCCTATTTACTCATGTGCATGAGACAACTGCGTTGTGCTGCCCTGGCTGGCCGACTCAACGTTCACTAACAATAAAATTAACAATAAAATTATGTGATTATATTATAATTTTTGTATGTTATTGTATGTAACACTTTTTGATAGTGTTTATGTTATAATTTTTTTCTTTATTGGTATATATATATATATATATATTATTTCTAAACAAAATTGTCTTGTAAATTGTGTTGTGGTTAAAATATTTTTTTAGTTTTTATATCTTCACTTATTTTATCTTTTAGTTTTTATGATTTAAAATAAATATTTTTAGTTTTTAAGCTTATATTTTTTAATTTTTTTTAATTTTTACAGTTTAAGATATATATTTTAATTTTAGTATCTATAGTTGAAAATTTTCAATCATTTTAAATTCTATTATTAATTTTTTGTAATGTTAACTATTTTGTGTTGATGTGGTAAATGTCTTTAATTTTGTGAAACTTAAAAAAGTCTCAACAATGGATATCACAAATAAGATACAAAAAAGGTATGAAGCATTAAAAGATTTAATTTAGAGTAATTTTAATAAAGTAAATTCAATATTAGACATACAAAGTTGAATTAATATATATATATATATCATGTCGACACAAAAAAATATATCCTTTTAATTTATAATGTTAATTTTCTTTTGTAATATTGTCTATTTTGTGATTGATGTGATAGAAGTTTTTAATTTTGTGAAAGTAAAAAAATGAGTATTTTAACATTAATGAATATTATTGGTAAAGTACAAAAGAGATACGAAATGTTGAAATATCTAATTTAAAATAATTCCAACAAAATAAATTTAAACTTATAAAATTGAATTAGTACATCTATCATGTTAAAACAAAAGATATAACATTAAAAAATAATAATAATAACAAGACTATTTTTTTTTATATAAAAAAACGGTTATTATATGGTCTAAAAAAATTATCTTAAATTATAGGGACAAAAAATAATTAAAAAAATAAATATATGACTAAAAATATAATATTTTTAATTAAAAATTATTTTTTGTTTATGTTATAATTATAATATATGTTGATATATAATTCAAAAAGTGTATATATTAGTTATAGTAACATATAATATATATATATATATATATATATATATTTGGACTCAGCCTAGACAAATTATAAAAATTCTGAATTTAATTATAAATTGAGCCAGTAAATGTAGCATACTATAACACATGTTATATACACAAGGTCTCATAATTATCTCAAAAATCACACCAACAAAAAATCCATTTCGACGATTACCAGTAAACACACTTTATTGTTTAAGTGTTGAATTTCATTTAAACTTAGCAAAAAAATTGTGTAACTATATTATCAATTTTTGTATATCATTATATGTAACACTTTTTTGTAGTGCTTGTATGTTATAATTTTTTTTTCTCTATTATTGGTACATTATTTTATTTTTCTAAACAAAATTGTCTTGCTCATTGTATTTTAGTTAAAATATTTTTTTAGTTAAAATATTTTTTTAGTTTTTATAATTTTACTTACTTTAACTTTTGTCTTTATGATTTAAAATAAATATTTTTAGTTCCTAAACTTTTATTTTTCAATCCTTTTTAGTCTTTATAGTTTAAGATAGATTTTTTAATTTTAGTTTCTATACTTGAATTTTTTTTCATCGTTTTAGATTCAATTATTTTTTTTTTGTGTAACATGAACTATTTTGTACTGATGTGATAAAGGTCTTTAATTTTGAAAAAATAAAAAAGAGTCTCAATAATGGACATCACAAGTGACATACAAAAGAGGTATGAAGCGTTGAAAGATTTAATTTAGAGTAGTTCTAATAAAATAAATTTAATATTAGACACACAAAGTTAAATTAATATATCTATCATGTCCATACAAAAATTACATCCTTTTAATCTCTATTGTTATTTTTTTTTTGTAGCATTATATGTTTTGTATTGGTGTGGTAAAAGTCTTCAATTTTGTAAAAATAAAGAAATCAGTATCACTGATGAATTTCAAAAGAGATACGGAACATCGATAGATCTAATTTAGAATAATTTTGATAAAATAAATTCAACATTAAACTTACAAAGTTGAATTAGTACATCTATCATGCTAACATGAAAGAGATAACGTTAAAAGAATAATAACAGAGACTAAAAAGATTAAAAAATTATTATTATATGAATTAAAAAATTATCTTAAATTATAGAAAAAAAATGATTGAAAAGATAAGTATATGACTAAAAATGTCTATTTTAAACAAAGTAATAGGAAAAAATAATCCTTTTTTATTGTACATGGTATTAAGTATTAAATGTTGAATAATAAATTCTATGAATTTAATTATTTGTTCACTAAGTTTTTATGATTTGAATTTTAAAACATATATTTAATGAGACATAACTGCTGACTTGAACAGAAAAAAATTACTATGAGGGTTTTTTTTATTATAAATATTTTGCATATGTTTGATTTTACGTTTAATTTTATAAAATTATAATAAAATACTAATTTTAGGTAATTTTTTTATATTTTTAATTTTATATTGAAGAATTGATTTTAAGTTCATAATTGATTATGAATTGAAAATAACTTCAGGCAGCAGTTTGGTGTAAGAAAAAAAAAACTTAAAGTAGTTTTTTGGTTCAATAAAAAATTTATATTGAATTCTACTATTACAATACTAATTTTTTTAAAAAAAATTAAATATGAATAATGTCACTTCAAAAATCAGTTATACTGAAAATTTTCATTTAAAATTAATTTTTTAAATTATCGTCCCAGTAGACTCTTACCAATAGCAATGTTATAATTTTCTTTAAAAAAAATTTTATGTCTAAATTAACTTTGTATGATTATCACTTTCATATGATTTTCTTATTAGAATCAATCTAAAATTTTTCTCGTATGAATTATTTTCTTAAAAAAATACCTTAAACTAAAGTAATTTTTTCTTGATTCAATAAATAATTTGGTGAAGTAAGTATTTCATTAATCTTAGAAGTAGTTGTTTCTAAATATATAAATTTAGAATAAATTTAATATTATTAATAAAATTAATTACTAATTTTCTTAATTAGAAAAATTAAGTAATAGGTCTAATCACTACAACAAAATTTATTATTACCGATAATTATTTAACGTCAATAAATTAATTATTTTTATTTTATTATTTAATAAAAGTATTAACGATTAATATATAATGGCCACTAAAGAGTATATAAATAGATGATAACTCTCAGCTTACAAGTTTGTTTTGTAGGGTTGAGTTAGACCTATAATTTACTATTCTAAATTGGTATGAGATTACTCACAATTATCAAACTCAATAGTCCCTAAACTTGATGGGACCGACTATTAATAAGAAAATTTAAAAAATATATAAATAGAAGACAACCCTTATCTTACAAGGCCCACATCAACTAGAAATAAGAAAATTAAAAAAAATATATATAAGTAGAAGACAACCCTCATCTTACAAATCTCACATCGACTAAAGATAAAGTAATTAAAGAGTATTTTTACTCATCTTACAAGTTTCACATCGACTAGAAAGTAAAAAATGTTACAAAAAGTTAGACATTTTTTTTTTACTATTATAAAAGTTTTTACCAGCATTTAGAATAATTGCTACTAAATATTTTAGCGACACTGTATATAATGACTAATATGAAAATGCCGATAAAAGATTTTATAACAATTCTTATTGCCATTAAAAATTTATTTTATTGTAGTCAATAAAGTTGACGCGTTAATATTTTTTATTTATTTAAGAATATATAGTCAAGATGATAAGAAATATAATTATTGCCAATGAAGCATTTAATTTAACGTGTACTCTTTAAAATAAAACGCCCATAGTTTTTTTAAAGTTTTTACCACTTTCTAAATGATAATAGTTTAAATTAATGCTTTGAAACTTGGTTCAGAATCCGTTAACACTAAGCGTAAAAGTTAGTGAAATTATAATTTTAATGTTTTATAAAATGAAAATTTATTCAACCTGATTACTATATTTGATTAATTACATCAAGCATTCAAAATTTTATACAATTTCAAAAGTTATTTTAAAGGTTCATCATATTACTTAATTTAACATGAAATATAATATTCAATATATATATATATATATTATTAGTTTTAGTTGATGAACAATTATTTTTTATTAGTTTTAGTTCATTAACTTTTGTAGGTTTTCAATTTTAGTCTTTAGTGTTTGACATCAAATTTTTTATTTTTATGGAGAAGATTTTTAAGGATTAAATTTAAATAAAATTTTGTCTAAAGAGTTAAAAATATGTTTAATCCTATTGTGGTATAAATGTTTTCAAAATTAGACATGTCATTGAATAAGTCTAAACACTAGTTCAAGATCCAATAGTTCAATCATGATCGTACTGTGATCAAACTAGTATTAATTAATTAATTATTATTATCATCATCAATGTAAAATTAATATTAAATAAATATAATATTATAATTTCATAACACTAAATATTAAAATAAAATGTTATTTATAGATTCTTAACGTATAATATACACGTAAAATTTTAAATTATATACATAATATAATATATTTAATTTTAAAATTTTAATAAAATATAATAATGTCCACTAATAATAACAAGCTTATATCTAGAATAAAAATTATTAAATTAATATAATATAAATTATTAAAATAAAGATATTAAAAAGTATAAATTAACATAAATTATTAAATTATATTTATCATCAAAGTAGTATAAGAGAAATTCATTTACTCTAATAATATCTCTTAATAGAGTTAATCCACATAATAACTCATAGAGTACATTAAATTTCAATTATTCAAGTAGTAAATTAATAGTTCTTATTGTATAGGCAAATGTACAAATTTTTGCAAATTAAAATTTGAAATCATTT